TTATAAAAAAATGTATTTATTACACTCTTAACTTATGTTCTTAAGATATATGTTAGACAAATTCAATAATCAATTTAGGGTTTAGTGTAGAGTAAATTGTTTTCTCAAAAACTTTTCAGAGGACCTGTCTTAAAACCCAGCTTCTAATTACAGCAATATTTTCAAAAAGGAATTATTGAATTAAAAATTTTATTTATTTAGATAATTTACATTAATATTTATATTGATCTAATATCTATAATCTTTCAATTAAGAACACTTTATATATTACCCATGTCTTATAATAAGTATTGTTTTTTGACCTTTTTTTTTCTAAATTAAAAATTTAAGGGCTATTTATATATTTACTTATATTATTTTTATAAAAAAACTAAAAAATAAAGTAAAACTTTTTATGATAAGATAATTAGTCAAAATAAATGGATGATAATAGGGTTAAAGTAGAGAAAAATATTTGTTTATATTAAAAAAATAAACTAATGACAATTAATTTGAAATAAATTCAAAATAAAAAAGCCAGTTATTTTAAAATAAAGAGAATAACATATATTTAATAGTGTTAAATTTTGTTAATTAATTAATTGGTTAAACTTATTAGATCAATATGAAAATTAAAATATATGATTTATATATAATTATATAAAGAAAAAAAATTTAATTTAATGATTAAATATTGAAAATATTAATCAAAAATAATTTTTTAGACATGTGTTCTCTAAAAAAAATAATAAAAGGATGATTTGTAAAATACTTTTTGTATAAATTTAAGTCAGAAAGTGCAATTCAGCCCCTCTACTATAAGTGTTGTGGCAGATCAGCCCCTCTACTAAGAAGTAGTGCAAATTAACCCCGTAGTAATCAAACCCCACAAATCAACCCCTCTTAAGGGTGACGTCAAAAAAAAAAATCATCTTTCCGTTTGGCTCTTTATTGCTCCGTTAGCAAACGATGATGTGGCACTGATTTGGACCAAAAACCCCCCCTCTTAGTTGACCTTGAGATGACATGGCAACTTTTCTTCATTTTTTGTGATGTGGCCAATTTAAATTTCAAAATTACCAAACAGTCCTCTTTTTCTTTTTCTATCCATCTTCTCTCCCCTCCTAAAACAATAGATCAGCTCTTTTACAAAAATTCGAGCTGAATATATTCTAAAGTCTAAATCTAAAATATATACATAAAAAAAAAGAGACAAAAACCTTTAAAAAATATGAACATTGAAAAACCAAGAACAGCTCAAAATCAAAATCATAGCCAGCTACTTGTGGCTTTGTTGGTGCCAAGTCGTCTGCTCCCCTAACCTTGAGTCTCTATCTCAGGCAACCCAAAACCCACCTAACTCGAAGCTTTATTTTGGATATAAGTACATTAACATTTATTTCTTCAAAAAAAAATCTCAAAATTTAGAAGGCAGAAAAAGAAGAAAAAAAAAAAAGGAAATGGATTTGAACAACTATGCTTAAGTCAAGAAAAAAAAAAAAGTTTTCTCAAGAGGTGAACTTTTGGCCGTTGTAGCCCTTCTAGTGCATCTTGAAATGTTGAAATAGAAATGTAAGTAAAAATCAATCTCCTTAAATATGTATTAGTTGTCAAAATGAACTAAAAATGAGTAAATACATAAAAATATTACTAATCAAAATGCTCATAGAAGATTCATATTTTATAGTCACCAAGATATACAAATCATTTATAGAAATAAGATTTTAATAACATTTGAAACTTTGAAATTTATTATTCAAATTATCAAGTTTTTAAATAAAATCAAGAATATGAGATGGATTCTCTTTGAATCTTAGTCTCTTCCATTTTAAAAAAAGGATTTCTACTTTAACCATTAAACATAATATATAGATTCACATAATTTTTTTCAATAAAAAAAAAAAAGATACGGAAGAAACTTGTATTAGATATAGGAAAGGTGCAAATTTAAACAAGTGGGTTTGGATATATCAAGTCACTTGCTGGGACCTAGGCATCATAGGAGGTGCCGAGAGGAGGATCATTCACGTTACAAGAAGGTAAAAAGCCCAAATTTTCTAGGAAAACAAACAAGTAAAATATAACTCAAGTATTATTTGATGAAAAACCAAAAATCTCATCAGTCTTGTATTAATTTCTTGGACTATATATCTTTAATAGAAGTAGAACTCCCATGAAAAAAGAGAACAAACCCAATAAACATACCCAACTCACATGAGAACAAATCTCACCACCACAGTTTCAATCGAAGATCTTAGCCTATTACATATTCTCATCAATGCCAACAAGGAATCCACATGCCCACCAACGACTTAAGAGGAGGAGAAGAACAATTGTTTTGGGTATGAATCCAGCAAGGAATAAGGACAAGCTTTTGGGTTTTGAATAGAAGGATTAGGGGATTTTTTTTGGATTAGAGTTTTGTATTGTGAAGAATTAAGGATTTTAATCTCTTTATTTAAATGCCACGCTAAAAGAAAAAAAATTGATAGGTGTTGTTTGAGTCCAAATCGTTGCCAGATCATCTTCTTTTAACAGAGCATTAAAGAGTCAGATGACAAAATGACGATTTTTGATGTCATTTATAGCATAAGGGTTGATTTTCAGGGTTTGATTACTAGAGGAGTTGATTTGCACTACCTTTTAATAGAGGAGTTGATCTACCACAACACTTATAGTAGAGGGGCTGAATTGCACTTTCTGCCTAAATTTAACCTTTAAAAAGAAAAACTATCGAACGTGTCAATAGGCCTCTCTAACATCCATTTCACATTTCAAATTAGAAAATAATTAGGATACAATTTTTTTATATAATTTTTTCAAATAATTTTATATATCATTTACTAATATATTATTTTATTATAGTTGATTTTATGATATTATATATCTATCCGATTACAGAACTTAATAATAGTGAAAATTTTATAAATAATTTATCAAAAAAATAGAGGTTAAATGCTTAATTTGGTCCCTCAACTTTAAGAAATGAATATTTTTGGTCCCTCAACAATTTTTTACACTTTTTTGATCCCTCAACTATACGAAATGCACTCCGTTAGTCCTTCTGTTAATTTGAGTCATTAACCTTGCTTAGGTGGCATTTTTTATATTTTTTTTGATGATGTGGAGAGCAAACTTAAAAAAGTGATGACATGCATAAAACTTTTGCCATGTCACATGCTACCTGGCAAAAACGCACCAAATCCATCCAAATGGGTCCCACATCACCACTAACAATTGCTCCTTTGGCCATCGGTTACTGTTTCTATTCTTT